CCCACCTCCCAAGAGACCTCTTTCAAGGGACAGAGGTTCAGTCCAGACACCTCCTCAGTCAGCTCATCCCCTCCTCCTTTTGCCTCCCTTGCTCTTCCGTTGGTTCAGCCTGACCTGCTCAGCATGCTGGCCCAGCCCTGAGGAGCGCATGGGCAGCTGGAGCTGGGAACCAGGCAGCAGAGCCAAGAACAACAGAGGAGCCGCCTGGCTGCCTCGCCTAGATGCTGTGCAGCCCATTCCTGGTCTAACCGTAACACCTTCTATTGCAGCTTCTTCCCCACTGTGGTTCTGACCCTACCGGGCCACACCTGCTCCCTTTGCCAAGGCCTGGAGCTGGCCCTGCAGGTCAGCCAGGTGTTCTTTGCGTCCAGCTGCCCATACCTTCCCTAGCGCTAGGGTCTCTCCCCAGCACCCAAAGGTTTCTGGGAAATGGATCTCCTATTTTCTGGATCTCCCAGCTTGTGCGCCAGCTTGCTGGAAGTTCTTTTTGGTCCTATCCATCCTGCTCAATGACAATTTTATTTGAGAGAATCAGAGCCTTATCAGATTTGAAAAGGGCTGGGTCCCTGAATCCAGGGAGACAGGAATGGAACATTCCCATGGGTATGGAGGATCAGACCAGACCAGGAGGCAGGATGCTCAAGTCCACACTGTGCTAAGTGAAATGCTGAGGGTTAGGGAGACCAGGAGACACAACTGTTCTGGCCCAGCCATTCCCAACTGTTGGTCTGATTGAATAATCGAATCAACACCCCTCCCCCTGGGAACTGACCTTTAGGCCACTTCACAATGGACATTCCCTTTCACTGAGACCACATTCCATTTGCTAAGACCACATTCCACTTGCAAAGACCATTATCCTTCCCCTCTGGACCTTCCTAGGATCCGGACCGCCCAGAGAATTCTCCGCCCAGAAAAAGCCCGCCTAGAGTCCTTTAAAACCTCTGACTCCCTGTCCCTGGGTGCTGGCGCCATTTGGGGGCTCAGCCCATCTGGTATCCAGATGACCTAATAAATTTCTAATCCCTTACCACTTTGGCTGCATGCGTTCTTCCTTCGGCAACCCTAACACCAACTCCTTTTTTCCACTCTCAGACCTTCCACCCTCTGTTCAAGTCCTGCCTTCTTTGCTGCCCCTACAAGGAGTCCCAGAGACTCAAGGCCCACCCCCACCTGGGTTTCATTTCTACATGACTCCCAGCCAACAAACTCTCTGACCCAACAGATGCAATAACACGGCTCAGGGTGAGGCCCTTCCACCAGTGCTGAATTTGGCCAGAGCTTCTCTTTGGCCCCAGTTGGGGGTGAGGGTGAAGGGTACATGACTCTCCAACTCTTCCCAATCCTCCCCCCACCCAGCCTCAAGGGAGTGATAGAGAGGGGTGGGGTGTCTCCTTTTCCCAAGGCCCAGACCCCTTAATTGAGCACACAATATAGCCACTCTCCCTCACACTTCTCCACCATGCCTATGCCTGCTCAGCTCCATTCCTTCTGTTGCAAAACCAGCCACTTTCCTCTTCGCCACACTGCAATGCAACAGTCCTAGAATGTTCCTTCCCTAATTCTCTCTCTACCAGCCCTGGGCAAACTACTGCCGGCTGGCCGAATCCGGCCCGTTTGAAATGAATAAAACTAAAAAAAAACAACAAACAAAAAAACCGTACCCTTTTATGTAATGATGCTTACTTTGAATTTATATTAGTTCACACAAACACTCCATCCATGCTTTTGTTCCGGCCCTCCGGTCCAGTTTAAGAACCCATTGTGGCCCTCGAGTCAAAAACTTTGCCCACCCCTGCGTCTAGCCTGTTTCCCCCTTACCCTGCCCCATCCTGCCTCTTTTCCCCCAGCTTTTCTCACCAACTTTGCACCCTCCCCAACTTGAGTCTTCAAATTCCTGGGAGAGCCCCCAGAGGGGTATGGCCCAGGCTCCTAGAAAGGGGGAGCGGGTTGCCCCACCAGATCTGGTCGTAATTAAAAGACCAGCGACATTGAGAAATTCCTTATTGATCCCGGCAGGAAATTAGAGCCAGTTGTTTGGGACTGAGCGACTGATGCTGACTAAGATCCTCCCCATTGCTAGGTTCCCTGGCCCCTCTCTCCGAGGCTCCCCCACTCTCCCATTTTCCTTCCGTTAGCCCCCTTTCCCCTTACCACCCCACCCCAGCCGTCTCATCCCATTCCCTTTCCTTGACTCCCTTCC